TTGTTTCATATGAAATACAGATTCTATTATTTTTTTTCTTCTTCTCTATCTCATTTTGAGTTACCACTTTTTACGCAGGTTCCCCCTCCAAAAATACGTCGAGCAGCCGTTCTCTTTCGCAGACGAGATGATTTAATTTTCTTTGTTTCCAAGTAGCGTACGTGAATATTACTTTAAAGTTCTCTCATCGACTGTACTGCTATAGTTTGGGAGGCATTTTTATTGTCTTTGTTGTTTTGATTATTACTATTATTGCTGTTGTTCCTTCATTATCATTTATGTTCCTGTTGTTATAATTGTTAGTGTTAAAATCGTCACACGTATCATCATACTATCCTTGCGTTTTTTTGTGTTTTTTTGTCTGATTTGCGAAGCAGAACCTCGCCTGGGCTATGGCCATGAGGGGAGCCCGGTTATCTTGTGTTACGTTGGAAATTACGGAATATTTTTATGCGTTACAATGACTACGCTCGAACGGAACGGTCTGTAGCGCTACGGTGACGCTCAAATGTGAACAGTGACCCACATGAGTTTTCTGGGTTTTAAATTTTGTGTTTTAACACATTTACTATGGCTGTTATTTATACTAGTATTTATAAAAGTCATCTTTTTGATCCTTACATATCGTATTTCCCATTAATAGTCCAGCAGATGGGCTTACAAGTCAGGAATCATGCTCTCTTGTTTCCTCACATTTAACATCTTTTGCTAAGCTGAATATGTAGTCAAATTCCAGTCAATAAGTACCGACTAGGTTTCAAGAGATCTTAAAAGTCCTTATAGCAACATCCATACCGAAAAATATTCCTAGGCATTCTACATTACCTGTCTTTGTAAAGAATGTACGCGTCGCCTGCTAGGCGTCTAGCAAAAAAAAAAATAATAATAATAATAAAAAAAAAAATAATAATAATAACAAAAAAAATACAGTAAAGTGATACAAGCCGTTCCGTTGATATTGTGCGCTTCGTAATACCACGAAGCGCCCAACGGAACGCAGGGCATGTCACCATCATCCTCATGATCGTAATCACAGTAACATCATTGTATATTAGCATTATACGTGATTGTAGCTCTAGCATTCATACGTAATATTACAGTATGATATTAGTCACCGGTTCTCCAGCTTGGATGATTGTATCCCAAGGTCAGGAGCCACTTCTCAAAACACAGCCTATCTTCATAATGCACCAAAATCTGATTTGTATCTACTTGATTAGATGTTCCCTCAAACGCAGGCAACGGATTATAGCCCAAGTTCTGCCTGCAGTTTTTTCCACTCCTCATTCTAAGTGCCCAAAATGTACGATATACTTTTTAAGTGAATTTGTAATCGCATTAACTGTGGCTAATTGTTTGGTGATTGTTAAATAGCTGACTTTTAATAGCAGAAAATAGTGGAACAGTAATGGTCTTCATTAATGCAGATAGTATTAGCTCCAGTTTTGGTAAAGTGGTGAGAGTTTCAGCGGCAGTAACAGCCGTTTAAGTAGAGGCAGTAGTCGTATAGCAGAAGGAATGGATCGAAGGCCAATTCTTTCTACGCAAGGTTAGCTGAAGTCATGTCAAGATAGCAACCCTCACTACCTCTCTGGGGGAAAACGATTATGCAATATCTGTGACCTAGGTTAAGGACAAAATGGAGGCGTAAATATATAAGGGAAGTAAAGACCGTTAGGAATATAATGAACAGTCACAGCAGAAATAGCAGAAGCAGTGTAGACCTTCTCTTTCCTGCGGCCTCAGGAAACACATGGATGGAGAAAGAACAAAGAGACAATCAAAGGAAGATCTAAAAACTGAGTTGCAGATCTCTTCCGCGTCCCTTGCACAGCTGATAATGAGCCGGTGTGATAAGGCCGAGGCGAAGCGATGCCACACATAAGATCACGGCCAGCGGGAAACTATAGTATAGTTTCAAGATCTCCGTTCTGAAAAAGTTCAATCATTGCATATTACAGCTTCTCAAAAATAAGAAGCATGGTAGAAATCAAGTTGATAAAATCATTCTATTTCCACCCTAAATTTTGTCATAAAATTAGGGGATACTAAGCAAGGATGTTAAGATAATATTTAAGTAATAATGATAATAAAAATGATAATAAAGGGATAATAATAATGATAATAACAATAAAGATAAAAGATATGATGATGATAATAATAACGATAATAACAATAATAATAATAATAATAGAAATGATAATAAAGATGATAATGATAATGATAATAAAAATGATAATAAAGGGATAATAATAATGATAATAAAAATGATAATAAAGGGATAATAATAATGATAATAAAAATGATAATAAAGGGATAATAATAATGATAATAAAAATGATAATAAAGGGATAATAATAATGATAATAAAAATGATAATAAAGGGATAATAATAATGATAATAAAAATGATAATAAAGGGATAATAATAATGATAATAAAAATGATAATAAAGGGATAATAATAATGATAATAAAAATGATAATAAAGGGATAATAATAATGATAATAAAAATGATAATAAAGGGATAATAATAATGATAATAAAAATGATAATAAAGGGATAATAATAATGATAATAAAAATGATAATAAAGGGATAATAATAATGATAATAAAAATGATAATAAAGGGATAATAATAATGATAATAAAAATGATAATAAAGGGATAATAATAATGATAATAAAAATGATAATAAAGGGATAATAATAATGATAATAAAAATGATAATAAAGGGATAATAATAATGATAATAAAAATGATAATAAAGGGATAATAATAATGATAATAAAAATGATAATAAAGGGATAATAATAATGATAATAAAAATGATAATAAAGGGATAATAATAATGATAATAAAAATGATAATAAAGGGATAATAATAATGATAATAAAAATGATAATAAAGGGATAATAATAATGATAATAAAAATGATAATAAAGGGATAATAATAATGATAATAAAAATGATAATAAAGGGATAATAATAATGATAATAAAAATGATAATAAAGGGATAATAATAATGATAATAAAAATGATAATAAAGGGATAATAATAATGATAATAAAAATGATAATAAAGGGATAATAATAATGATAATAAAAATGATAATAAAGGGATAATAATAATGATAATAAAAATGATAATAAAGGGATAATAATAATGATAATAAAAATGATAATAAAGGGATAATAATAATGATAATAAAAATGATAATAAAGGGATAATAATAATGATAATAAAAATGATAATAAAGGGATAATAATAATGATAATAAAAATGATAATAAAGGGATAATAATAATGATAATAAAAATGATAATAAAGGGATAATAATAATGATAATAAAAATGATAATAAAGGGATAATAATAATGATAATAAAAATGATAATAAAGGGATAATAATAATGATAATAAAAATGATAATAAAGGGATAATAATAATGATAATAAAAATGATAATAAAGGGATAATAATAATGATAATAAAAATGATAATAAAGGGATAATAATAATGATAATAAAAATGATAATAAAGGGATAATAATAATGATAATAAAAATGATAATAAAGGGATAATAATAATGATAATAAAAATGATAATAAAGGGATAATAATAATGATAATAAAAATGATAATAAAGGGATAATAATAATGATAATAAAAATGATAATAAAGGGATAATAATAATGATAATAAAAATGATAATAAAGGGATAATAATAATGATAATAAAAATGATAATAAAGGGATAATAATAATGATAATAAAAATGATAATAAAGGGATAATAATAATGATAATAAAAATGATAATAAAGGGATAATAATAATGATAATAAAAATGATAATAAAGGGATAATAATAATGATAATAAAAATGATAATAAAGGGATAATAATAATGATAATAAAAATGATAATAAAGGGATAATAATAATGATAATAAAAATGATAATAAAGGGATAATAATAATGATAATAAAAATGATAATAAAGGGATAATAATAATGATAATAAAAATGATAATAAAGGGATAATAATAATGATAATAAAAATGATAATAAAGGGATAATAATAATGATAATAAAAATGATAATAAAGGGATAATAATAATGATAATAAAAATGATAATAAAGGGATAATAATAATGATAATAAAAATGATAATAAAGGGATAATAATAATGATAATAAAAATGATAATAAAGGGATAATAATAATGATAATAAAAATGATAATAAAGGGATAATAATAATGATAATAAAAATGATAATAAAGGGATAATAATAATGATAATAAAAATGATAATAAAGGGATAATCCGGGGCGCGTTCCAATGTCCTCGACTTTGCTCAAGACGACGCGTCGTCTGTGAGGAGCAGGATCTCCTCCGTTATGCTTGGAGAACCCCGCCAAACCGAAAATGCTTAGTTGGGCCGAACCATAACTTAACTGAATTGAAACTATCCTGCGTTTACCCAACCTAGTATGACATATCTCCCCCAGCCTAGTCCAACCTGATCGAACCGTGACATGGTCCCACAGCGATACTCAGCCGAGGGAGAGCCCCCATATTTTCCCTAAAATATTGCTATATAAGCAACAGTGGGGACGCCACAAAGTACCTATGCATGTTAGAAAATAATCATAACAAACAGATAGCCTATTATGAAGACTTAACAAGGGAAGGGGACTGCAAGAGTGATGACAGTTCCTAATAATGGCATGTCATAAAGTATCATGTTTATCATAGAGTAGAGGCAATTCACTCGTGCTGTGAACATGCCCATGAATATTAGAAGGTATTTGTTACAATATACAAAATGCAAATACTTGTGTTAAAGCGTGAAATCGACTGAAAATGCATATTAGAAAAAGAAGCCTAAGACAACAAATGAAACCGTGTTACCAAAATGAAAATTGCAAGTTCTTCTTACCATTCCATATCTGGGTGGTGTTGCGTAAGAATCAGGGGCATCAAATTGGTAACCAATGGGATAACATCATGGGCAGACGTTGGTACGAAGTTGATTCATAGGACATTGGAAATATTGTCTTATACAAAGCTTAGGTCATAGTCTTTAATCTTTAATTTTGTGCAGCATTATGAAGGCTATATCATACTCATGGCATTTGTGGGATGACCTTAGTCATAAGGTCATTCCACAAATGCACAGAAGTATGTGTGTTGCATAAGATGCATCTTTAGCCGCCTCGCCCTGTCCTCCCGGTCACTGACAGGATTGACCACCAGCCTTGTTCACAGTCTTAGCAGATCTTTCTGACGAAACTAATCATCATAACTGAACAGTTAGCGTGGCGAATGGTAAACCAGTGCTCTTGTATGAACAGAGGACTTTGGACTGTCAGCCTAAATGGAAAACTAATATAGGTTTATAGATTTAGGGGCAAGATTAATATATTCCTGTAGTCAGTAACAGTGGTAAATGAATAGGCAAATAAGAAATATGGATTAAGGCACTGCAATAAATGTGGTTATTGTATTGGTAGCAGTAATAATGTTATGTTTGTGCAGCTCTGCAGATTTATAAAGAAACGTGTTTTTTTATCCAGCATTATTAATTATTTTCGTATTGCTCAAACCGGAAATGTGTTGTAGAACAAAGACTGCAAAACAGGTACAATTTCTGATTAAACCTTCTGATGAATTACTTTCTCCCCCAGGTTTGCCGTCGCGGCCTGAGCCTCAGCCTCTTGTGTGGGTTCTGGGCGTAGTGGTGGGCGTGGTGGTGGCGGTGGTTGGCCTGATGATGGGGCTCTGGTGGACTAAAGGGCGCCGCTCATCTCACACGCTCAGAAATACTGAAGACGACGTCACGAAACTGAAAAACCAGGATCTCGCGGGTAGGTTAAAGCTGTAAACACATGTGTTTCTTTGTGCTTGCGTGTTTGTATGTGTGTGTGAATGGCGTAAAGGTAACTGTAAGTGGAAATGATCATATGATATTGATAGCGACAAGTTTTACTTACCAATTGTCATTGCTATAAATACTAAAACAGTTTGATATCCCCCAGCGTGTGTTTGTTGTGTAAAGTATTTGTCTAATATCGACATTAAGTATTTTCCTCCCACTTCCCCTTCTGACTTACCTTACCCACCTCTGTACCTTCGTGGAATGAGTCTCGGGTAACCGCCATTATACATGTATTTTCAATTGCAGTGACATAGAATGAGTGTCTCTCTACATTCCCAGGTGACCTGCGAGGCCAGACTGACGGCCTCTGTATGAACGGGGTGGTTCAGCACACGATATACGACGCCTCGGGACGATACAAAGGCTTCGGTCATCTTCAGCAAGTATGTAAAACATTGCTGAGGCGCATTTCCGACCAATGACTGTGAAAGAGCAACTGTGACCGAGAGAAAGAGGCTGGAGAGATAATGTGTGTGAATGCATTTGGGTGCATGGGCGTATTCATATGTGGACGTGCTTGCGCACGTGCATGCGGAGAGGGAGGGAAAACTTTTGTTTTTCACGTCCTTGTGTGAATGTTTTCTATTTGCGTGCATATTAAGCAAGTAATCTTCCTTTATATGTAATTGTACTTTTGTGTATATTTGTTTACCTATATCTCTCTGTCTATATGAAGGTGAGTGAGTGTGTGTGTGTGTGTGTGTGAGTGTGTGAGTGTGTGTGTGTGTGTGTGTGTGTGTGTGTGTGTGTGTGTGTGTGTGTGTGTGTGTGCGTGCGTGTGTGCGTGTGCGCGTGCGTGTGCATGTGCGTGCGTGTGTGTGTGTGTGTGTGTGTGTGTGTGTGTGTGTGTGTGTGTGTGTGTACGTGTGTGCGTATATGCTTTTAATTGTCATCGTTCGCGGGAGCGGAGAGTGCTCGTGTGTATGCAGTGTTGGTAAATCTGTTGTGAAACTGCATTAGCATATATTTAAATTCTAGTGTGCATCCATGCCTATGCGAGGCTTTGTGCACAGCGGGCAACTCAACTAGACTGTATGCAAATATATTACTAGCATTTCAATCGAGCAATATACAAATGCCAATTTGCATCCAGCCCATCGATGTAGTGATCTGTGTGTGCTTGTGTGTGTGTGTGTGTGTGTGTGTGTGTGTGTGTGTGTGTGTGTGCTTGTGTGTGTGTGTGTGTGTGTGTGTGTGTGTGTGTGTGTGTGTGTGTGTGTGTGTGTGCTTGTGTGTGTGTGTGTGTGTGCTTGTGTGTGTGTGTGTGTGTGTGTGTGTGTGTGTGTGTGTGTGTGTGTGTGTGTGTATGTGTGTGTGCTTGTGTGTGTGTGTGTGTGTGTGTGTGTGTGTGTGTGTGTGCTTGTGTGTGTGTGTGTGTGTGTGTGTGTGTGTGTGTGTGTGTGTATATATGTATATATATATATATATATATATATATATATATATATATATATATACTTCAACAGGATGAGTAACACTAGCGCAGCTACTTAATTATCAAAGTAGTATTTCCTCTAAAATAAAATCTAAAATAGATTTTGGGAAATTAGTATCTTTAGAGAAAACAATACTAAGCGTTCTCTTATGAACAAAACTAAGCATTTCCCGTTTACTCTGCATCTTATGTTGTTCATCAGCTAAAATGTTCGAGATGAAATTCTTGGCATGTGAGTAGCACCACACGCTCTCATCAACAGCGTATCTTAGAACCCACTAAGTCTTACTGTACTGATAATCAGCTCCGTTCACCATCACCACCGGCCATCAGAGAACACTGCTATTCCAAGAGACATCCATTCACACAAAATTAACCTTATCCATTTTTTTTTTTTTTCATCTCGAGGGGGAGCAGTACATCAACTGTCATCCCCTTACATGTACAATATCAGTAGGTAGTCCATGTAAGATTTTATGGGATTGGTTTTACGTTTTTTGTGATTATTTACGTTGTTTCCTTTTATTTTAAAAGCCTATTAGAGATGGTTTACAATTTTTAACATTTTCACAAACGTACAAAAAGGACGTTGGGGGAGGGGGAGGGGTCACGTGTACGCTTTTCAAAATGGAAAAATGTCGATCGGTTTTTGATACGCCCTGTAGAATCTACGGGCCACTAGCCTCGCTCTTGTCAAGTACTGAAGCTCGCGGGCCATACATATGTGCTTACACAGTTAGCACTGCACAAGCGTACCTTCATTCTCTAAAATGGCAGGCATGGCGGATGCCGATTTCAATCACAATCGCGAAAAAAATGTATCACTTCTTAGCGTGCAGACTTTATAATCAACACTTACATGGGTTTGTCTCACCGTTGACATAATACAATAGTCCTGGGAATCTTTTTTTTGTCCACTTTTTGATGGGGGGAGGCGGGTCTCCAAAAGGTGTATGTTTTGTACACTTGCAAAAGTGGTGAAAACTGTGAACTACTCCTTAGATTGTAAATATGTTTATTATTAATTCTCTTTTCTTTAAACAACCTTTAGGCTGTTTCTGTAAACGCACACTATGAATTATTATCAACCATTTTTTATTCTGTGCTGCATTTCTAATTTCTACTAATTTTCTTTAACCTTACTAGCTTATTAAGTTAGTAAACAAATGTTCGTAGTTACGCTACCCCTACTTTTCCTGTTGAAGTTACGATTCCAGAAAGGAAAGACATTTTCTCAGGTTATATATAGTATATTGTACATATAATATACATATATACATGTATTTATATATATACATGTGTGTGTGTGTGTGTATGTGTGTGTGTGTGTGTGTGTGTGTGTGTGTGTGTGTGTGTGTGTGTGTGTGTATACATATATAAATACATTAATTTATGTGAGTGTCTATATCTGTCTATCTATCTATCTATCTATATATATATATATATACACACATTGTGTGTAATGATAATGATAATAATTAATAATA